GTGGCTGAGATGACGGAGCAAAGAGCTGGCGCGGCTAGGCAGTGTCACCAGCACCAGCAGCTCCAGTACCTCCAGCAGCTCCAGAACCCTCAGCTCCATCTCCTCCAGGACCAGCTCCACCAGCAGCAGCACCCCCAGAACCGGCACCTCTAGTCCCAGGGTCTCCAGCCTCAGTGTCTCCAGCAGCAGCACCCCCAGCTCCAGGGTCGCCAGCAATAGTAGCCTCCGGCTCAGCAGCACCTCTAGCCCCAGCAGCTCCAGTACCTCCAGTACGAGCACCTCTGGGACCAGCACCACTCCCAGCTCCAGTGACAGCAGCAGAAGTACCTCCAGCGGCAGAGCCCCGAGCTCCAGAAGCACGACCCTGACGGCGACCGTACCAGTCGTGCAGCTGCTGTGAGGTGAGAGGCACACGCGGACGAAGGTGGCTACTCCAAGGAGACCGCACAACAGCAGACTCAGAACCCTCAGCGCCAGCACCCGCAGCAGCTCAAGAACCTCCAGCAGCAGCACCCTCAGCAGCTCCAGAACCTCCAGCGCCAGCACCTCCTGCAGTAGGGCCCCTAGCTCCAGCAGCGCGACCCTGACGGCCAGCGTACCACTCACGCAGCTGCTGTGGGGAGAGAGGGGGTCAACGACTAGAGTGCAGCGGCGAGGCACCAGCGGAGCGACTGCGGAGACGGCCGCTCCAGGGAGACTCCTCAGTGCCCCCAGGCGCAGCACCTCCAGACCCAGTACCCCCATGCTCAGCACCCCCAGACTCCGCACACTCAGGCTCAGCACCTCCAGGCTCCGCACCCCCAGGCTCCGCACCCCCAAGCTCCGCACCCCCAGGCTCAGCACCCCCAGGCTCCGCACCCCCAGGCTCCGCAACCCCAGGCTCAACACCCCCAGGCTCAGCACCCCCAGGCTCCGCACCCCCAGGCTCAGCACCCCCAGGCTCCGCACCCCCAGGCTCCGCACCCCCAGGCTCAGCACCCCCAGGCTCCACACCCCAAGGCTCAGCACCCCCAGGCTCAGCACCCCAAGCAGGACCTGAGTCACCAGTGACCTCAACCGGCGTAGGCAAGGGAGGAGGGTCTACCTGAGAAACACCTGAAGGAGCAGGACCGGGAGCGGGGATGGGGTCTACCTGGGTAGCACCTGGAGCGAGGAAGAGCGGCGGGGGGGGGAGAGGGGCAGTGCGGTAGGGGAAGAGACGGTAAAAGGGAACCGACTCGTCAAACGTGACGTCCTGAGAGGGGAAGACACGGCGCGAGGTGGGGTGGTAAAACTGCCAACCAGGCGCGTCAGGGACAAAGCCAAGGAAGACACAGGGAACAGCGCGGGCGGAGAGCTTGTCCGCGGTGGTATCGCGGACAAAGGCACGAGAACCCCAGACCCGGAAACGCGACGCATCGCCAACCTTCCCCGTCCACAGCAGTGTGGGCGAGGTCTCCGGCAAGGAGACACGGGGCCAGAGGTTGAGCTGATGCGCGGCGTACCGGACCGCAAACGGCCACAGAAAATGGGGGGCAGCCGCATGGATCATGGAGGTACGAGCGACCTCCATGACTAAGCCAATGCGGCGCTCAGCAACCCCATTCTGCTGCGGAGAGGCCGGAAGCGTGAACGAGTGGGTGATGCCGTGCTCCTCACAGAAGGCTGCCAAGAGGTCGGAGGAAAACTCACCACCTCTGTCAGAGTGCAGACGAAGAACGGGAAACTCCGTCCCGAACCGCTCGCGGAGCTGGAGACGAGCAGCGCGGATCCAAGGGATCAAAACATCAGGAAGCTCACCCTTGGTGCGCAAGGGGAAGACCGTGGTGTAACGCGTGTAGTCGTCGACGACCAGCAGGAAGTACCGCTCGTGGCCCTGTCCACGGACGCGGGCTGGGCCCCACACGTCCATGTGGAGAGTCTGCAGGGGAGCCTCTGTGGGAGGGAACGAGGAGGAGTGAGGAGCGGCGCGCTGCCGCCCCTCGACACAGGGAAGACAGGGAGGAGCAGGCGAGGGTGGCAGGGGAGGGAGAACCCTGGGAAGACCAGAGACAAGGACACGGCGGTGCATGCTGCGAAGGCGCTGCACCGAGGGGTGACCAAGGCGGTGGTGCCAAAGGAGGGTCTGGTGCGACAAGGCGCGACACGAGCAGGGGGCCGACAACTGACCTGACGCAGACGCAGACGCAGCTACCTGAGGGGACTCAGTGGTCAGTGTGTACAGGCCCGACCTCGGCTGCCGAGTGAAGGTAGCTAGGTGACGACCCGTCTGAGCACACGTGCAGTGGGTCACACGCTCGTAGGCAGGGGTGAACTGGTGAACACCCGCGTCCTGGAGCGCAGAACCCGCCACCAAGTTCGTAGAGAACGAGGGGAGGTAAAGACCCGACAGTGTGCCGGACGGGACAGCAGGACAAGGGAGGACAGTGGAGGAGGTCGCACGGACTAGACCCCCAGAGGGGTCTGCCAGGGAGACTGGAACCGGCCGACTAAGCGGCGTGAGGGTGGTGCTATCGTGAAAGAAGGAGCGAGAAGCACCAGAGTCAAGTGTGAAGGTGTACAAGGCCTCAGCAGGCGCAGTACCAGAGAGAGCAGACTCACCAGCACCTGGAGCAGCAGCCTCACCAGCACCTAGAGCAGGAGACGCGCTAGCACCTAGAGCAGTAGCCTCACCAGCACCTAGAGCAGCAGGCTCTATACTTGGGTCAGGCGGTACGCACAGGTAACAGGCACGGTCAGCACTAGTAGGCAATGCATACATGGCAGTGAGAATAGCATCATAGTCAAGAGCAGATATATCTACCCTCTGCCCAAGCAGCTCCACCCAGTCGGGGAGCTCAGCCTCGTCGCAAAACTCGGTACGCCAGGCGTCGCTCAGACGGGTGAAGCAGCGGGACTGTGTGTGACTAAGCGTCCCGTAAGCCTGACCAGTCCGAGCACCAGTGCGAATGACGTAAGGGCAGCGAACGGTACTGAGAGACCCTCTACTCTGAGCGTACCACTCACGAAGCTGCTAGGGCGTGCGAGACTCGCGCGGACGTCGCTGGAGCTGCATCTGGCCACCGCCAGTAGCAGGAGTAGGAGTAGTAGCAGCAGTAGCAGCAGTAACAGCCGTAGCAGCAGTAGCAGCAGTAGCAGCGCGGCCACCCCTACAACCCCAACTAGCGTACCACTCACTAAGCTGCTGGGGCGTGAGGGACTCACGCGGACGTCGCTAGAGCTGCATCTGGCCACCGCCAGTAGCAGCAGTAGGAGTAGTAACAGCAGTAGCAGCAGTAGCAGCAGTAGCAGCGCTGCCACCCCTACAACCCCAACTAGCGTACCACTCACTAAGCTGCTGGGGCGTGAGGGACTCACGCGGACGTCGCTGGAGCTGCATCTGGCCACCGTCAGTAGCAGCAGCAGTAGCAGTAGTAGCAGCAGCAGCGCGTGCAGGGCAGGCGCGACAGGCAGGCAGGCAGGCAGGCCGGCAGGCAGGCCGGCAGGCAGGCAGGCAGGCCGGCAGGCAGGCAGGCAGGCGGCGTGGCGGCGCGCTAACAAGGCAGGTGCTCACCATTGGCGGGCAGGGCCGGTGCTCGGCGGACGGCGGCAGGGTCGGCGCACGACGGCGGCGACGGCGGGGCCGCAACAGCGGCTACAGTGAAGGGCCGCGTGAGCTGCAGGGCTGGGGCCACGACAGCGGTAGGTCAGGGCCGCGGCAGTTGCTGTAGGGCCGGGTCGAGTCAGCGGCAGGGCGGGGCCGTGTCGGCGGCAGGGTGGGGCCGGGTCGTGTCAGCGGCAGGGCGGGGCCGTGTCGGCGGCAGGGCGAGGCCGTGGCGGCGGTAGGGTGGCGCGCGCCGCTGCCTAGGGCCGCGCACTGGCGGGCAGAGCGCGGCGCGGCCCTAGGCGGTAGGATGGCGCGCAGTGCGCTGCGGGCCGCGGACGTGCCGCGCGGGCTCTGGGCGGGCTGCGCGGGGCAGCGGCGGGGCGCGCGCGCGCGCTGCGCGGGCTCGGTGCGGGCCGCGCGGGGCAGGTGACGCGCGCGGGCTCGGGGTGGGCTGCGCGGGGCAGCTGCGGGCCGCGCGCGCGCTGCGCGGGCTCGACGCGGGCTGCGCGGGCCGTGCGCGGGACGCGACGCGGCTGCCGAGGCGCGATTCGGGCAGGAGAGGGCGACCCGCGGGGGTAAAGACGAGGCAGCGCGTTAGAATTGGGTCTGCGCGTGAAGCAGCAGCAGACAGCTCAGACAGTAGACAGCAGGCAGCAGGCAGACAGTGCGCGCAGCGCAGCACGTCCTAGGTACAATGACAGGCACATTCGTGGGGTAGTGGTAGGTGGGCCCGAAAAAAAAGACGGTCCTACGGACCTACCGCTCTGAAACCATGTCAGAAGTATAGGCAGGAATGAATGAACTATGGAAGAGTTGGGTACAAATATCAAACCCTAGAAGGGGTTGTACCCCATATTGGCTACCCCACTACAGCCTAAACCTATATAGCATACATAATCTGACACCCCCACCCCCTCTAAAGGAGGCACGGAAGGATTAGATGAAGCCGTAGCATTCTCCACCCCACCATCGTCCGTAGTGCCGCTATGAGCAGCGCGCTGTGCATTACCTGCACTTCAGCAATAGTGGTATGATAAGTGGATGTGGGCGACTCGACACGTCATCGTGAGATAGCATCACCCGTGTTCGGCTATGTAGCATGTTTGAAATGCATTACCTCCTTGGCGTTGTAGAGCAAATGCCTTCCCGCGTCTTGCTCCTCCCCAAGACAAGCCCTCCACACGCCTTGGTTTCCCGCGATCATCTAACCGCATAAGCGGAAAGGCATATGTCACTCCAAACAGCTCCCAATCCGGCCGTTGTAATAAATCAGTGACCTTCTCGAAGGGCACTTGAGCGTGGGCCTTGAAAATGCGATGGTACTCTTGGCGGTGCAACTCGACCATGACGCCCGTCTGTGAGCGTCCAGACCCAGCATCTGTGAGGGATGGGAGATGGGGGTGAAGGTAGAGTAAGGCAGAATTTGAAATAAACGTCATAAAATTTGGGTGCGAGGAGACGGCTGATGAGGCCCTTGGGCCCCATGACCAGCGCTATGGTGGGGCGCTGGGGTGAATGGGGGGGGCAGGGATGAGGGATGGGGGGTGTGGCAGGGTGGGAATAAGACTAACAACGCAGGACAGATGTCATTGAATTTGGGTGCGAGGAGGCGGCTGATGAGACCCTTGAGACCCATGACCAACGCTATGGTGGGGCGCTGGGGTGAATGGGGGGGGCAGGGATGAGAAATGGGGAGTGTGGTGGGGTGGGAATAAGACAAACAATGCAGGACAGACGTCATTGAATTTGGGTGCGAGGAGGCGGCTGATGAGACCCTTGAGACCCATGACCAACGCTATGGTGGGGCGCTGGGGTGAATGGGGGGGGCAGGGATGAGGGATGGGGAGTGTGGCGGGGTGGGAATAAGACAAAAAATGCAGGACAGACGTCATTGAATTTGGGTGCGAGGAGGCAGCTGATGAGACCCTTGAGACCCATGACCAACGCTATGGTGGGGTGCTGGGGTGAATGGGGGGGGCAGGGATGAGGGATGGGGAGTGTGGCGGGGTAGGAATAAGACTAACAACGCAGGACAGACGTCATTGAATTTGGGTGCGCCTTCTGCGGCTGATGAGACCCTTGAGACCCATGACCAACGCTATGATGGGGCGCTGGGGTGAATGGGGGGGGCAGGGATGAGGTGAGGAATGGGGTCTGGCGGAGAGGGTTAGGTAAGGCTGAGCCGACAATCCAGAACCGGAGTCATCACATTTGGGTGCGAGGAGGCGACTGGTGTGATGAGGCCCTCGGGTCCCATGACCAGCGCTATCGTGGGGCGTTGGGGGGAAGGGGGGAAAGGGGGAGGGTAGAGTAAGGCAGATTTCAGAATACAGGTCATTGAATCTGGGTGCGAGGAGACGGCTGACGAGGCCCTTGGGTCCTATTACCAGCGCTATGGTGGGGTGCGGAGGGGAGGGAAAGTGTGAGGGGCACGGGAGTGGGGGTTGGGGAGGGGAAGGAGGGAGTACGAGAGGAATTGCAGGGCAGGAGTTGTTAAGATTAAGCGCGAGGAGACGGCTGATGAGACCCTTGGGACCCATCATCGCGCTATCGTGGAGCACTGAGGGGAGGAGAGTGGGAAGAGAGGAGGGAGAGTGGGGCAGGCAATGCAGGTCTGGAGTCGAGCAGGCGGCTGATGAGGCCCTTGGGTCCCATCACCAGAGCTATGGTGGGTCGCTGGAGGGGGGAGGGGAGGTTAGGAGAAAGTGGGGGGTGGGGATTGGGAGTGGGCGGTAAGGCAGAGAATGCAGGGCAGGCGTCAACACAGGGGCGTGCGCGCGCACCAGGCCGCGCGGACCAAGGCGCGCGCGTGGACCAAGGCGCCGTGAGTAGCAAACAAGGTGGACAACCCCACGTGTAACACGCACAGTAACGGTCGCATGTGCCGCGATATGTTCACGCTTCCCGTCGTTGCATCTTTGCATGCTTGCGTTGCCGCATGTAACCCTGCACTTGTCGCTTGAGCCATGAGTAGCAAACTGCACCACCATGATGGGAGGCAATGTCGTTATGGGCAACAGAGGGATATAGAGCAGAAGTGAGCACATGCTGTGATATGCGGAGCAGTGGCCACACACTTTGAAACGAGCATCAGAATGCTATTGCTGAGACATCAATGGCAGAGGCCACGAGCTGTGACAAAAGCAGCAATGAGCACATGGTGACGACATGAGCAGCAGTGAGCACATAATGTGACAAGAGCAGCAGTGGTATGATGCTGTGACATGAGCAGGAGAGAGCCCATGCTGTGACTTATAGAGTAGTAATCCGATTTTGTGGCATAAGCAGAAGAGACCTATGTTGTGACTTGGCAACAGTGTAGCCTCATCCTATGACCCCACCAAAAGAACCTACATCATGTGTCACCAGCAGCAGTCTCAAGCTGTGACATGAGCAGCAGCTATATGAAGCTGTGACATGACCAGCAGCTATATGAAGCCGTGACATGAGCAGCAGCTATGCGAAGCTGTGACAGGAAGGATTAGAAAGCATTGTTGAAATACTTTGACAGGAAACAACAGTGACCTTATGCTTTGACATGGCAGCAGTGTCGGCTCATGTTGTGACGCCGCCAATAGACCTTGCATGCTTTGACATGAGCAGCAGTTATTTGATGTCGTGACACGAGCAGGAGTGCGCACATGCTCAAACAAAAAAAGCAGCTAAACAGCATAGACCTCATGCGTCACATTGCGACGCCAGCAGTAGACACTACATGCCTTGACACGCGCCAACGTGATATGATGCTGTGACACGAGGAGGAGTGAGCACTTGTGGTGACAAGAGTAAACAGTGATATGATGCTAGGGCCGGCACCAATTGATCTTATGTTGTGAGATAGCAGCTTTGTTGCCTAATTTCATTGACGCCAGCAGCAGACACTACATACTGTGACATGAGTAGAGTGATGTGAAGCTGTGACATGAGAAAGAGTGAGCACATGCTGTGACATAACAAAGCAATGGTATGGTGCTATGAACTGCAGAGCTGTGATCCTATGCTCTGACATGGCAGCAATGTCGGTTCATGTTGTAACACCCCTCGCAGACACTACATGCTTAGACATGAGCAGCAGCAACCCTGCCATGCTGTGACATTTGCAGAAGTGACACTGCACGCTATGATGCATGTAGTTGGCGGACATATGCTGTGAGTTGAGCATCAAGAGCTGAGACATTATGCTGTGACATGGTAGAAGTGTTGCCCCATGCTATGACGCCAGCAGCAGACCCTACATCATGTGACACCAGCAGCAGTTATATGAAGCTGTGACATGAGCAGCAGTTAATTGAAGCGGTGACAGGAGCAGGAGTGAGCACATGCTCAAGGATTAGAAAGCATTGATGAGATATCGTGACAGGAAACAACTGTGACCTTATGCTTTGACATGGCAGCAGTGTCGGCTCATGTTGTGACGCTAGCAGTAGACATTGCATGCTTTGACATGAGAAGCAGATATATGATGCCGTGACATGAGAAGGAGTGGCAAAAAAAACAGTGATGAGATGTTGTGACATAAACAGCAGTGACCTTGTGCGTCACGTTGCGACCCCAGCAGTAGACACTACATGCCTTGACATGAGCCGCAGGGGTATGATGTTGTGACATGTGCACGAGTGAGCACATGCTCAGGCATAAAGAGCAATGTTGATGATTTGAACGTGACATAAACTGGTCCTGGACCTTATGCTTTGACATGGCAGCAGTGTCAACTCATGTTGTGACGCCAGTAGTAAACACTACATGCGCTGACATGAGCAGCAGGGACATGATGCTGTGACATGGGCAGGAGTGAGCATATGCGCAGGCATAGAAAGCAGTGATGAGATGCGGTGACAGAAAGTGGAAATAGACATTATATTGTGAATTGTTAGTAGTAGCGCCTCTTGATGTGAGCCGCAGGATATGATGTTGTATGATGGGTAGGAGCGAGCACATGCGCTGGCATAAATATTAGTGATGGGATACTATGACATCAATATTAGTGCCATTATGCTTTGGCTTGGCAGCAGTAGCGCCTCATGTGGTGACTCCAACCCTAGACACATCATCACATTTGACATGAGCAGTAGTGATATGATGCTGTGACATACCCAGGAGTGAGCACATGGACAGGCATAAAAAGCATTGATGAGATGCTGTGACATAAACATGAAATAGACCTTTTGCCTAGACTTGGCAGCAGTAGTGCGTCATGTTGTGACGCCAACAGTAGACACCACATGCTTTGACATGAGCAACAAGGATAGGATGTTGTGACATGAGGAGGAGTGAGCACCCCCGCTGTCATAAGAATCAGTGACCAGAGGATGTGACATAAAACATCAAATTAACATAATGCTGTGACTTGGCAGCAGTGTCGGCTCATGTTGGGATGCCAGCAGTAGAGGCAACATGCTTTGAGATGAGCCGCAGTGCGCAGTTGCCGTGACGTAATCACCAGTGACACCGCACGCTATGACGTGAGCAGCAGTAACCATATGATGTGCCATGAGCAGCAGTGACACCGCACGCTATGACGTGGGCAGCAGTGACCATGTGATGTGAGCACATGCAGCAGTGACACCGCACGTTATTACGTGAGGAGCAGTGACCATATGATGTGACATAAGCAGAAGTGACACCGCACGCTATGACGTGTGCAGTAGTACTTATATGTTGTGGCATAAGCAGCAGTGACACCGCACGCTATGACGTGAGCAGTAGTAACCATATGATGGGACCTAAGCAGCGGTGACACCGCACGCTATGACGTGAGCAGCAGTGAGGTGTGACATAAGCACCAGTGACACCGCTCGCTATGACGTGCTTCGCAGTGACCTTATGCTGTGACACAAGCAGTAGTGGTCCCGCATGCAGTGACTTGGACAGCAGTGACGCCGCATGCTGAGGCACCAGGGCGATGGCGCGCATGCGTTATGCGGGACGCCCCTCAGGTTGGAACCGTGGCTCTGACAGTTGCTACGACAGAGGGCGACAACACGCTCGACTATAGCAGTCCGTTGACAGCTGTGTATGCCGCCGACAGCCACTGAAACTACAGCTTGAGTGAGACAACTCTACAACCGATGCTCAAGATTGCGTTTATCATCTCTTACAGTTGGGTGCCGATGTACAAAATGTAGTGCAGGACGTTGGCCTTGAATTCCGTTCACCTCTCGTCTGTCTCCCTACCGGCAACGGTTTAGGCCTTTCCCTCGCGCATTCCCGTGGTCGCCCTGTCGAAGATTACTGTCGCAAGTCAGGCCGTAGATGTTACACCCGCGGGCAGTAAAGGTTCCACCAACCTGTCCTATTGTCTACGTATAGTTCGGACCCACCCGAAATGAACTTTTCCTCTCTATAATACCCCTACAATGCTCTTACTTCGTGGAACGCAACTTCTCTTCTCGGCAAATCGTGCTCCTCACATTCAGGCCCTGAACGTCGCGTTTCGCTGTTGACATCTCCTGCGACGCGGCGTCCTAGTGCCAGCGCATCGCGATAAAATTTCGTGTTATGACCTGCCTTCTATCAAGCAAGGTTGGTAGTCGTGCTCTACGTTGATTTCGTCATCGAGCACGTTTGGCGAGGCTGTAGGTGTTTCAGGTCGCTATTGAGGTTGGTGTCAAATCTCTACCCACCACTCGTTTTGGTGGTTCAATTCAACACTTCACCGGACTGTAACCCCCCTATTCCCTCGATACCCCCTCGCTGTTTGGATGCGATGCGAGTGCTCTTTTTCGATGGTGCTGATTGGCTGCGCTTCTGCACCATTCGAGGCGACAGAATGGTCGCCTTAGTACTGTATTTTCGTGTAATGGTGGTCATCCCTTGGGGGAAGCAGGCCAATCTGAGTGTGGCGAGGTGATGTTTGATTTCGCGGCTCTGAAAGTGGTTCGCCAGGGTTGGTTCAACAAAAAAGGTTTTTGCTCCCTCTCGCTAACTTTGTTTCATGTACAGGAAAATTGGTATTTTGCCATGTGATACTCGGGAAACTTGATATTTTGCACACCTTCCAGAAAGACCACGCGAGAAACCTTTGTAAATCGAAACCCAAAAACAATGGGCTATCCGAAAGCCAGAACAGAACTTGGGCACTTGGAAACTTAAACCAAAACCAAAACGCTGGTTCCACGTGAAAACACACGCATGATCACGTGAAATTTGTGTGACCAGGAAAACAACTCATTTTGAACCTGATGGTTCTCTCAAGATAGCGAGCAGGAATGAGTGCATTGAGTGAATTGTGGGTACAAGTACTAACCCTAATATTGGGTTGTATCCCACATGGGCTACCCCACTATAGCCTACACACAACTAGCACATATATGGTTTGACACACCCCCATAGGCAAAGTGGGGGAGAACAAGGGGTCACAAGACCAGTCAAGAAAAGCAAAGCAAGCTCAGCGTGGATCACAACGTCACCACACACTCCAAGCACAAGCAAAGGGCCACAAGGCCAGTTCACATACAGAGGTATATACGTAACAACAACAATACAGTGATCACTACCTAGCAAGAGTAAACATGCAGGTATATATATATATACATATATATATATATATCACAGTACAACCAGAGTCTACAGCAAGTGAGGAAACGTAGGCACCAGGCCTAGAGCAGTGCAGAAGCGCTGATGATCACTAGCCGGAAGGGCCTTGGTGAACACATCAGCCGTGTTGGCCCGGGTGGGCACGTGAGCGACAAGAAGCTGACCACGCTGCTGCAACTCTCAAGCAAGGAAGTAACGCAGAGCGATGTGCTTCGTTCTGTGCTCCAGTCTGTGGTCCTAACACAAGGCAATGGAAGCCTTGTTGTCGACGTACAGAACTGGAGGAGAACGAGGCCTCTCTCCCAAGTCGGTCAGCAGTTAGGTGAGCCAGCGTAGCTCCTGTGC